GGGTTTGAACCGCCAGCCTTCTGGTTAGCAGTCAAGTGCTTTAGCCACTATGCTACCAGAGCTCCTATAGAGGGTATAACAATGGCCAATGCCAGAAACCTGGCAGTCATCCTTAAATTTCTTTTATTTCCTCACCATCCACATTCAATTGATCACTTAGTTCTGCAATTTATATCTTTCCAATCTATCTACTTCTTTTTATCCTTACAATTACCACTCTTTAGCCTGGATGATACAACCTCCTAACTGGTCTTGTATAAGGACCTCGGGTGGTGTAGGGAATAAGGCATTTGGCCGCTCACTGGAATTTCAGTGGTTCAAACCCACCAGTCACTCTGTAGTTTCTATCTGTACAGGTTCTATCTGTAGAAGAAAGATGAGGCAGTCTGCTTCCATAAAGATTTACAACCTTGGAAACCCAATAGGGGTCAGTACAAACCAGAATCAACTAGATGGCAATGAGTTTGGTGTAATGCACTATGGTGATTCCTTAAAAAGTTGGAATTAGAAATACCATTTGACCCAGCAATCCCATTACTAGGTATATATTCTAAAGAAGTAAGAGCCAGGACAAGAACAGATATATGCACACCAATGTTCATCACAACACTGTTTTCAATAGCAAATAGATAGAAACAACCTAGGTGCCCATCAACAGAAGAATGGATAACCAAACTATGGTACATATACAAAACGGAATATTATGCAACATTGAAGAATAACATAGAATCTGCAAAACACTGCATAATGTGAATGAACTTGGAGGACATTATGCTGAGTGAAATACATCAACCACAGAAGGACAAATATTGTATTAGTTCATTATTGTAAAAAATCAAAGAAAGGTTTATATATGGAAGGAAACTTTATTTGTTGGTTACCAGGGGTGGGAGGGGAGGGGAGGAAACACTGTAAAAATAACAAATAAGATAAAGAAAATAAAGAAGATTCTCAAGCCAGCATTTGTTATTTTCTGTCTTGTTGAACTTTGCCACTAGTGCTGGGGCCAGATGGTATCTCATTGTTTTGATTTGCATTTCTCTAATAGCTAATGATCGTGAGCATTTCTTCATGTGTTTGTTGGCCATAAGAGTCTTCTTGTATATAGTTTTGTTTCCCTCCAGTCCATTCCTGGCACCAGAATGGCCTTTCTAAACATTACCCTGCCACTCTGATAACTTAAACCTTTCAAAGGCTTCTCATTGTCCTGAGAGTAAAGTCCGCATTTTACAGTGTGGCTTACAAAGGCCTTTCTCTCTGTAGTCTAAACTTTTCATACTCTCCACTATAAACTCCATACTGCAGCAATACACTAATTCCTCATATTCCTCAAGGGCATTGAGATCTCTGATCCTTTGCGTATGTTCCTTCTTCTGCCTGAAATATTCCCTTCCCACTCCCACCAATCTTTACCTGGCTAACTTACTTGTCACTCATATCTCAGCTGGAAATGTCACTTGCATAAGAAGGCCTCTCTTGACTCCTTAGAGTCAGGTAGGGGACCTAGCTAGAGCATCTGACTTCCTCTAACTTCACAAGAGGGAAGTATAATCAAGATCAACAGCCCAAGGTGGATTCCTATGAGGCGGATGTCAGACATACCTCTACCCTCTAATCTTTTTACCAGTTTTGACATCAACTTTTTTTTTTTCATGGCATTCTCTATTTTTTCTTGGGTTTGATAATTTGTTTCAATGCCCACACAGAACTCACAGACAATATTTACAATTACGGGGTTTACTACAGAAGTAACAGGTTATAATTTAGGATCAGAAGTGACTCAGGGTATAGTTTTTTTGGTTAGGACAGCTTTTTTCAGCTATGCCAACAGGCAGGTCTTTCTCTGGCCCTTGGCTCCTCAGGACTCTGGGGCCAGCTGGAACTGTGCCTGCTCAGGCAAGTATTATATAGCTCTTCCCTCTGACACAGAGGCACCCCACTCTGCCAATAAGCCTCTTGCCCAAAGGCACTCAGCTTTCTTGTTCTGTGGGTCAGGAAGCCCACTGCACTGTCTCCTGCCCATCTCTTGGTTCTGATGTCTCTGCTGTCACTGTTTCTCGGTCACTATTTCTCACTGCCTCTTTCCATCTTCAGTGTTACAGCCCTTTCTCTCTGTCTCCTTGGTCTAGAGGTTCTCAGCACAGGGTTCAAAGGACACGCTCTACTCCTGGTTCTTCTTTCTTGGTTGTCATGAAGTCTCTCTTTTGCTCTGGGATTGACCCTCTTAAGCCTAAAGGGATGGCAAAACTGACTAATCCCCTCATTAGAGTTCATATACCTTATTTGAATGGTCCCATCCCCACGTGGGTGCCATATAACTTATTCATATTATTAGCAAGCTATCCAGTCCCCATGGTGGGCTCATTTGTGTAGTCCCAACCAGTCATTTGGTGGGAGATACAAAGACTATGGCTGGAAGGGTAATATTAAGTAATTTACTGTACTATAAGCCCATATGTTTTGTAGATAGTTGTATCTTCAACACTTGGCACAGTTCCTGG